TTTAATATCCTTTTATTTTTTATATTTTTTTTTCATTGTATAGGGCTAAAAAAGACAAAGTAAAAGGATTTTATATTGATAATAAATTCATTAATACAGAAAAAGAAGATTTTCTTAAAATATATCCTCTTGATTTGTATTATTCTAATTCTACTACTAAAGTTATAACTCCACCACTTCTACAACCAACAATTATAGAAAAAATTTAGACAACATATCTTGATGTGATACCGGATATTAGAATTTTTATTAACATGTGTTCAAATAAACTGCATAGAGAAAGAATAATTTTCAGATTATGTAATGAGTTTCCATTTAATAATTCAAATAAGATTCATAACAAAACAGGTTTTATTTAATTCTTTTTCTACTATTATTTTACATTTTTTTTCAAATACTTTCCCAAACTTTTTATGATAATCTTATGAGATGATACATGCGGACATGCATATATTTCGAAAACTGACGAGAAAAGAACGTTTTCCGTTCGAGATTTTCAATTTGAATTGCTTATCACACAGAGTCATAGAGAGAAGTGTATTAACATCGAGATAACAAAAAAAAAGTTCCTGAAAGAACGGAAGTAAAAAAACGAAGAAGGATGAAAAGAAGCAAGGAACACAGACATACGAGATACAATTACATTTATGTATATAAAAATGGAAGAAAAAATAGAAAAGAAAATTCTCCCCGTCCGGGAATTGAACGCCGGTCTCTCGCGCTACAAGCGGGCATACTAACCTGTCAGAAATGCCCAGAGCCGGGGTAGGGCGGGCGCAAAATTAACTAAAAACGTTCACGTTGTCGTAGCGTCGTTCCCCACAAAGTGCGCGTTCAAAGATCTCGTGAAGAGTGAGGACTCATCGTCCTGCCGATCCTTGTCCACTTCCCACGCGAAGCAGGCCTGGGAAAAGTCCCAAAGGAGCGAGTCACCCCCACCATGTGCTGGGCCTGGCCTCAAGTGGCTCACTTCACTGTTTTCGAAATGGATTTTCTTGCAAACCACTTTTTTTCGTAACATATGTATACTGTGCCAATAAATAAAACAATCTATACAAATAGTACAACAAATCCAAAACATACAAAGGATGAATATGATTAAAATATAATGAAATCAATGGCTCTAGGATAGAGCACTCTTAATCTCAACAGTAAACTTATCCTACCCCGCTTATCGCTAGTAATATAAACATATAACTAAGGTTAATTTAAGCTAGGGAGTAGATATATTAGATATGTACAGAAAGGAGGCGAATCGTCAGTTTATGTTGCTCTCGTATTGAATTTTTTTGTTGTATGTTTTTCTATTGTAGTGGTAAATGATTGGTAAATTCGTGTCGTTTTGTATTAGACCTATGCTATCTAAGTATAAAAATGAGGGGTGTATCCTGTTTGTCTAGTTTTCTCGTAGTACAGTAATGTCTCTACAACTGTCAGTTAGCAAGGAACCTAAACATGACAATTGTAGAGTCAGGGACTCTATTTTCGAGCCTCGCGCCCGCCTTTGTAGTTTACCGAACGAAGACAAGGGCAGCAAATAAAAGATAAGGATGAAACAGGAGTCGAGGCAACCAAGCGATTTAAACACCAACTTTTTTAATTTTACGTTTTTTTATCCCGAAATTTTTCTTAACATATTGATGAGATTTTTCTGATGAAAATGACATCAAACACGATATAATTTGAACAACATTTACTTATTAATACGTTCACTGTCACGCTAGATTTACCGGTTGCTCTCATGCGGCCACAAGAAAATATTCATTATTTTAATATTTATTGTATGTCTGGGTTTTGAGTGTGAGGTCGTCCAGGAGGCTGGCGCGCCTTTCATTTGTGATTATGAAGTTTACGTTAATTTGTACTATGTTTAAGTGTAAAATTGTAATTTTATTGTGTGGACGTGTGTGATGTTGTGTGGGAACTAAACATTAAAATTCTATGGCTATTCGGAGTTTGCAATAAAGTTGATTCGATTAGTATTTAGTTCTACGATCTCTGCGATGCGTGACATTTGTTTGCTTACTGAATTTGTGATGTGTTTGATTTCTTCTAGTAGTGTTGGCTGGTGTGTTTTGGTTGATAGGTTTTGTGTGTGGTTCTGTTAGGTGTTAGTGGGTGTGTGAGCATCTGTGTGTATCTGTGTTTGTTTACCTGTGAGCATTAATCTATACGAAATAGCCGGGTTAATTGTTTTATTGACTAGCTAGAATTTGCTCCCTAAAAGTTTCTCAAAGATAGCTATAACTGGTGTCCCTGTCATAAACCCATCGCTTTCTAATTGAGACATGTTAGTGCCATTCACTAATAATAATGCATCAGCGTGTGCAATATCAAAGAGATCATTTAACTTATCAAGAAAATCTTGCTCCTGTTTTTCTCGCAACCGACTTCAGCGTTTAGAAGTTTTTTGTAACGTCCTCCATTCATTATATTGAGATTCTAATTTTGTAACGCTATCTTGCATTTTCTTTGTTGGAATTCGTGCTTTTCTCAAAGAACCTCAACTTCCTTTATAACTAAACCAGCACTCGATCGTATGTTTAATTTTATCTTACGTAATTGCATAACAAAACTCTTAACACTTGTCTGTTAGATTTCAAACTGGCACCAATAATTTGATCACGATCGAGTAGAAATAATTTTTCTCTCCTAGTTTGCATCTTTAATTTGGATTTTCACTTTCCGTTTTCTACAGTGTTGCACTACTGAACGCTGAGAATATATTACCAAGGTTAGTTTTTTATTTCAAAGGCCTGTCTCTCTGAACCTTCGGTTCTGGGTCTTCTCTCCAGCGCTGGTAGAAGTCTAACGGATTTTGAGGGGTTCAAACTACCTACTTACCTGATGTAAATAGGTGTATTGTCTGACAAAGCAAACTTAAGGCTTCAGGCGTGTTTTAGGGCCTAGAAGTGGGAGATGTAGGAGAAATTGTGGTGTCTCGCTGTTAATCAGCCAATAGCGATAGAATAAGGCTATTGCTCTTACTCTTCTATGAACGATAGCTGACGGTTGAAAATCACGCAAGCAGTCGGTAACAGATGAGTAGTCGATAACTGACCCGAGTGAAAATTTTATACATTTAATACCACAGTCGATATATAGGCACTAGCGCAGACGACGTACAGGATAGACCTTGCATCTTTGGGGACGAGAAGACCCTTACCATTTTCGTGTCGCTACCAACGTTACTGATTCAGCATAGAATAAGGTTACAACATTAGTAGTGGTTGGAATTGGAATTAAACGTAACTATGAAATTACGTTTCAGAAGAAGCTGATAATATGTGAAGCATGTACTTATGTATTGCAAAAATATGCATAAATTTATATATATATTTATCATTTTCACATCATGTACAAAGTTCAAGTTACTTCTTATAAATTTTGTTGGAAAAAAAAAACGAAGCTTTCTATTAGACCTATAATTTTGAAAACAACTGATGTAAAACGTTAAATATTATACATTTACACATTACAAATAAAAAAGTAACGTAATTGTTTATTAGTAGATGATTCATCACATGCGCGTATTCTATTGTTCTCAAAAGATCATGAACAATTCTACCCAAGCAATCCAATATATGTATGTATCTTTATATGCAAATTTAATAAAAGAGGATTTTTTACATCTGCCGACTTTACCATCTTTGATGGTTGGATTATATGTAATTCCTACACTCACCGCTTTATATCGCAGAGGGCATACCAAAAACTCTCATTTTTTACACGATCGGTATTTTAGAACGTTGGACACAAAAATACATTACGTGCAAGGTCTATCCTGTACCTCGTCTGTGGTCCAATGTCAACGATGCGTCGCGTGAGAGACGTATATGCGACGAAACATTACTTGCTGTACGTTTCAGTACTGCAACCAATGTGAAACAGTGGATGTCTGTCCACGAAGAGTCATCGTCACACTATTATCCGTATCCTTTTGATCAGCAGGCAATGAAGCACCAAATCCCGACGCAGTTAATTCACATTGTGCGATTATATCCCCGGCAATAAGGGTGCGTTGTAATTAGACATGCAATTTTCATTGTGCAAACTGGGATTTAAATTCAATAATATATTTTTTTGAATAATTATGATTGTAAATATGTACCACCGTACATTCGAAGAACGGAAAAAAAATTTTCCACACAATTAGTATTTAAACGCGATGTCATTAAAAACATTATATTTTCGTCACTTAAATTGTTCCAAAATTGTACGGAGGCATTAACAGATTATTGTAATCCCAAAAAACGTAGAGATTTGTTCAAAATACTTACGAATATAACGAACCAATTTGCTATGCTTTTTGCATGTGCTTTTAAATTTTTTCCAATATTATTGTAACGCGAAGTAGCACACCTCATCCAAGAATTAGGATCACTGGCACATGTCCTATTTAAATTATCGAATAAATTGTTTAAGGTTTCAAAGAACCTAGCTGTGTGTTACACAGGCTTTGATTATAACATTTAACAACAATGAATTACCTCATATGGCAGGTCGTTAAATTCGCTTGCGGGGAGGGCTGCGGAAGGAGAACAAAGTTTCCGCGGCCCTCCCTAGCGCGCCCGACGAGGATCACCACG